TTTTTTTTTTTAAATCTGGTTCCTCAGAAGTATTTTTAATCTTATTGACTGAATTACAAAATTGGAACACTGGGGGAACATTAGGTGCTGAAAAATAATGTGGTGCCAATGGAAGGAATAAAATGGAAAGCTACCGAACTGACATTTAGGAAGTAACCTAATTTATATGCATTATAAGCTAAATGCGTATGGTCTTTTCCAGTGAGCCACGTATTGTTAGTAGAATTTTCCAGTGCTGTGCTTGGAATGGTGGAGTATTCTGGGTAAGTTCTTTTCACTCAAATACTGGGGGCTTGGGCTGGGGATGTGGCTCAAGCGGTAGCGCGCTTGCCTGGCATGCGTGCGGCCCCGGTTCGATCCTCAGCACCACATACAAAGATGTTGTGTCTGCCGAGAACTAAAAAATAAATATTAAAAAAAAAAATTCTGGGTGCTTTATAAATATCTTCAGATTGTTGTTGTTTTCTTGAAATGCTAAGACAAATAGCTTTGAACTGTTTATATGCATTTAATATAACTCAGGTTTCTGTGCACCTATAGTGATTTTATTCCCACTCAAGAAAGAACACACTGTATGTAAACAAGTGTCAGGAATTGTCCTGAATATATACTTAGTTTCTTTATTTTAAATGACTCATTCACAAGTTTAAGTATTGTTATAGATAACAATTTCTGTTGACAGTATATAGACATTTTGGCTAAGAGATCTATGGGGCTCAGAGGAAAAGGGCAGATATGATTGAACAAGGTTCTTCTCACATCTGATCATATGTATTGAATAGAATTGATTACTGTTGAAACCCAGAGCAGAAAACGTTGCCTATGGTTAATTGAGAACCAATGTACACTTAAGTGGAATTTGGGTACTTTAAATATGAAGTTAAATATTTTCTTTGACTTGGAATTCAGTAATTCAATTTATCTTAATCTAAACATTTCACAGATGTTTTAAGATGCTGGCTTTAGATTTAACTAATAAGCATTACCATGTACTTAGCATATTCCTCTATATTTTGTCCCGAATACTATTTGAAGTATTCTTCTTTGTACCAAAAAGTTTGCAGTATCAGGTTTGTACCTCGTAGCTGGAGTTCTGGGAAGTAGAAATGGGTCTGATTCCTTGGTTGTTCTTCAAGCTTCCTGATTTATATTAGGCATTCCCATCTGAAAAATCATTACTGAAATTTGAAACTCTTATATTGAAGAAGGACTTTTGATGCTTTCCTTATTGCTTCTTTCCTGTAGTTCAGTCTCCTCTTGTTTTACCGTGTGTTTATTCCTGTGCTTCAGTCAGTAACAGCCCGAATTATTGGTAAGTACATACTTACTTCTTGTTGTCTGATAGGCATGGAGAGGGGTGATGATGTTTCTAGTTTTTCTGAAGAGTTTTTGATGTTTTTAACTTAGACTTCTCAACAATCCTTTTGAGATAAGAACTGTTGTTCTATCCATTTTATGAATGAAGAAATAAAAGTTATTACTATAGTTCAACTGTTAATAGGTGGCAGAGCTGTGATTTTAAAACCAGGTGGTTTCTTGCTAATTGTGTTTTGTTAGTCACTGTGACATTTCAGTTTCTGCCTTGTAAACAGGTTTGTTCCAAGATAAGCAGCATGTATCTATGGCTACGCTGAATTGGAGCTGTGGCTAGAATATGGTGTGTTTACTATGAATAAGACTTTTTGAGTTAGGTATCATGATATACTGGCAATAAACAGGAAATGTGTGGGGAGGAATAAAGAATATTTGCAAAATAGGAGTTCCATGTTTGGTCTTCTGATTTCACATTTCTTTAATTAAACTACTACTCTTTTCCTTTTTCTTAGGTGATCCATCACTACATGGAGATGTTTGGTCATGGCTGGAATTCTTCCTCACATCAATTTTCAGTGCTCTTTGGGTGCTTCCCCTGTTTGTGCTTAGCAAAGTTGTGAATGCCATTTGGTTTCAAGTAGGTCCAGGGCAAAATGGAGTCTGGGTCCTACAGCATGATGGGTTGACAGGTGACAAGTTTTAGCCTGTGAAGTTAGTGGTATATAATGCCCTAATATATCGATTTTTTTTTTTTTCTGGGAATTGACCCCAGGGTTGCTTAACAATTGAACCAAATCCCCAGCCCTTTAAAAAAAATTTTATTTTGAGGCAGGGTCTCGTTAAGTCACTTAGGACCTTGCTAGGTTGCTGAGGTTAGTTTCAAACTTGCAATCCTCCTGTCTCAGCCTCCTGAGCTGTTGGAATTACAGGTGTGAGCCACCATGCCTGGCAGGACCTATTTCTTAGCCTTAATTTTTCTTGGCTAAGCAGCCAATGAATGATCTATGTGCTCTTGTAAAATGGAATCATTATCTTAGTGCATTGAAGCATCTCATTGACAGATGTCTGGGGCTTTTCTTTCCTGGCAATTCTAGTGAAAGACCAGTGGTATTAGTTTTGGATATAGGTAACAAAGGCAATTATTCATGTTTTGGTGCACTATTTTCTGTGTTACAGGATATTGCTGACCTAGCATTTGAGGTATCAGGGAGGAAGCCTCATCCATTCCCTAGTGTCAGCAAGATAATTGCTGACATGCTCTTCAACCTTTTGCTACAGGCTCTTTTCCTTATCCAGGTGAGACTGGCCTTCTGGACAAATTTCAAAAAGTTGCACTAGAGGGAGTATCACAAAGACAGGGTATTGCATTATATGGGGGTATTCAGATGTGTCATGTGAAAGGTAATGATATTTAAATCATTTTTTCACAGCAACAACTAGAGAATTTAAATATCATAAAATTAAAAGAAACAAGGATTTACTTGTGCTTTCCTGCCACCCTAGTATTCACCACACCTGCTGTTCAGAGGCTTGAGAAGTAGCTAAGTGTCTCATCTGGAAGTGAAAATTGTAGAACAGTGGGTGAATAATGTTAGGTCTCTGATGCTTTGGAATAAAGATATGCCATATTTGTTCTTCAGGGAATGTTTGTGAGTCTCTTTCCCATTCATCTTGTTGGTCAGCTGGTCAGTTTGCTGCATATGTCCCTTCTCTACTCACTGTACTGCTTTGAATATCGTTGGTTCAATAAAGGTAAGTACATCTAAAGAAACCTAGAATGTAAAGGCCTAGTTTAGAAATAGCTACTGCTAAGCAGACTACTCTATACTTAAGCTTTTGACAAATCATCTTTGAAAGGAAGTAGTCTTATTGGCAAGAGGGAGCTTACATTTATCTTAGTGAGTTTAATCCTTGAGACTGGGGGAAATGGCAATGTAGAATTATCTTTTTGGTGCTTAATATAACTCTGCCTGGGCCATAAGGTGGCGAAAGTGAGCATGAGTTGCTCTAAATTAGCAAAATTAAATTAATATCAGCATAATTAGATTCTTGCAGGATCTTTTAAAAGACTTTGGCATATTTAGCTGAGTGTGTGTGGCTGAAAGAGGTTATTTCTGCAGGCAGCATCCTTTTTGTTTGAGGTATGTGTGTGTGTGTGCATTTTTTTTTTTTTTGCAACTGGGATTGAGTACAGGAGCACTACCAGTGTGCTCTCTTTCCAGTCCTTTTATATTTTTATTGTGAGATAGGATTTAAATTGCTGAGGCTGTCCTCAAGCTTGTGATCCTTCTACCTCAGCCTTCGAGTAGCTAGGATTATAGGCTTGTGCTATGGTGCTTGGCTTATTTGATGTCTTGCTTTGTTCTAGACTAGTTCTGACAAAGGATGCTGGTACTGAAATTCATAATTCATTCACCCTATCAGCTTTGAAATTGTGATTATTGAATTATAAAACTTTAAAAAAGAAACTTTATATCAGTATTTCACAATTCTATTTTATATGCTATAGCTGTGCTCTAGGTGGTAGTTCTGTATCTAAAACCCAAGCCTCAAATAGTTTGCCTGTAATAGGTTTTCACTTGATTAAAAGAAAACATGTAGCCGGGTACTATGGCACATGACTGTAATCCCAGCAACTCAGGAGGCTGAGGCAGGAGGATTGTGAGTTCAAAGCCATCCTCACCAAAATCGAGGCACTAAGCAACTCAGAGATCCTGTCTCTAAATAAAATACAAAATAGGGCTGAGGATGTGGGTCAGTGGTCAAATGCCCCTGAGTTCAATCCCTGGCACCCTCTCCTGCCCTCCACCAAAAAATTAAATAAATAAATAAGAAGTCTAATAGCATCGTTGTCCTTGTTTTAGGAATTGAAATGCACCAGCGATTGTCAAATATAGAAAGGAATTGGCCTTACTACTTTGGATTTGGTTTGCCCTTGGCTTTTCTCACAGCAATGCAGTCCTCATACATAATCAGGTAATTTTACTAGAGAGATTTAAGAGAGACTAGTAAAAATAAAATTCAAGTAGCGAGTATCTTTTCTTTTCTTGGTTCTATGCCAGATTTCTTATTCAATAATCAGGATACCTGTAAAGATTTTTCTTCTTGACAACTAGTCATAGACATTTATCAGTTAGTATTAAAATTACTCTGTATGAACCTCTGTCTCAAATTCTTCTATGCTCCCTCACAGAGCAGTGCTAAATATTCACAGTGCTTAGAAAAACCTTTTGTTCCATTTGAAAGCTATATTTGATATGTTAAGACTATCAAGCCGTGAGGTTTGCACTGAAGACAAAGGAACTTTGGGCTTTTAGTATCTTTCTCAAACTCACACTGGCTGTTGTGAAGGTGACTAATTATTTCTTTTTTTCTTTTTCTTTTTTTTTTTTTTACAGTGGCTGCCTCTTCTCTATTCTCTTTCCTTTATTCATTATCAGTGCTAATGAAGCAAAGACCCCTGGAAAAGCATAGTAAGTATCAGCTAGTAATGAAATTGTTCAGATTTTTTTTTCTTTTAAAATAATCTCTTTCATTGCAGGAAAACCTTAATATACAGTTAAGAAGAGAAACATTTCTGGGATAAATCCCAAACTTTCAAACTTCTCCCATGAATATGTGCATATAGATTTTTATATCCTGAATTGATACTGTTACCCATAGTCTTTAAAATTTAACAGTCCACTGAATATTAGGTACTGGTGGACATCTTTAGTTAAGCTTATTTTTGTAAAAATGGCCAACTTAAAAAAAAATAATGAGCTGCTAGGCATAGTGGGACATGCTTATGATTGTAGTTATTTAAGAGACTGATGCAGGAGTATTGCAGGTTAAAAGTCAGCCTGGGCAACTCAGGGATACCCTTTTTCAAAATTAGTTTTTTAAAAAAATGCTAGGGATACTAGTATGCATGCATGAAGCCAAGGGTTCAATCCCAGTACCCCCCTCCACACACACACTAACAATGGGCTATATCATCTGGTCATATCAATTTATTGATAATATTGTAAAATGTTTAAAAATGAGTTTTTAGCAATAATAATAAGTTTTATTACTTCAAAGGAAAGCTTAGTCACTTAAGTTTTGATCAGTTTTGGTAAGTCAATGAGAATACTAGTATTAGAGAATTTTCAAATCTATTTTGAGTTTTTTCATTCTCTTGCAGGTAATTTTACCAGTGTTTATAATACAAGGGGTAATTGACTTTTTTTTAATTATTATTAAATGGTACTGGGGATCAAACTTAGGGATGCTCTGCCACTGAGCTATGTCCCTAACCTTTTTTATTTTGAGACACAGAGTTTTACTAAAATGCCCAGGCTGGTGTTGAACTTGTAATCCTCCTGCCTCAGCCTACCTAGTTGCTGGGATTGTAGGTGTGTACCACTGTGCCTGGCTTTATTTTATTTTATTTTATTTTTAACATTTATTTATTTTTGGTGCTGGGGATTGAACCCAGAGGCGCTTTACCACTGAGCTACATCCAAGTCCATTTTAGTTTTTATTTTGAGACAGGGTCTCATGAAGTTGCATAGGACCATGCTAAGTTGCTGAGACTGATCTTGAACTTGTACTCCTTCGGCTTCAGCTTCCTAATTTTTAAAAAAATGGTACTTGCTTGAAACGAACCACAGATATATGATATCTTCGGCTTGAAGTTTATATCCTGAAATTAGCCATAGAAAAGAACTTTTCAAATTATAATTAATCTAAAATATATAAGCCCCAATACTTCAAAACTAGTGATTCATTGCATTTACAGAAGCTACAGGACCCAGGTCCGCCCCCCTCCCCACCACCAAGTGCTGAGGACTAAAACCAGGGCCTTGCTCATTCTAAGCAAGCATTCTACCTTTGCATTATAGTCTCACACCCTTTAGTTGCTTGTTCAGCCATGTGTCTGATACTGGTTCTTCCTTGATCAAATTTTAATTATCTTTCTCTATGCAGTTTTAAATTTAATATAGTCAAATAAGCTGTCACATGACTGAATCATTTTGCTAAACTGGAGGTTAACAATGTTGGATCTTTTGCTTTTAGCCTTTTCCAGTTGCGCCTGTTCTCCTTGGTGGTCTTCTTAAGCAACAGACTCTTCCACAAGACAGTCTATCTGCAGTCTGCCCTGAGTAGCTCAACGTCTGCAGAGAAGTTCCCTTCACCGCATCCATCTCCTGCCAAACTGAAGGCTGCTGTGGGCCATTGAGTTGCCTGTCATCTAAAGGGGATGGGTGGATTGGAAAGAAGTTGTGGCAGCTCTTTTCTCTATCCTCTCCTGGCTAGGGAAGGCAGGACCCACTCTGCCAAGGGCCCTCTGTGTATTCCCTTCTCTTTGAGGAATTTTTGTCTCTGGTACATGGGAGGCAGGATCTTTCTGACACCAGTATGTGGATTTTTAATACCACCGTGAGTCTGAAAGGACCACAGGTTTTTCTGCAGCTATTTTCTAGCATTTGCCAGCCCCTGTGCCTGGACTGATTTAAATACTTTGTTTTTCTCCCTGTGCCATTTACCCTCCCACGTCTCCTTCCTGCCTTCTAGCAACCTTGGATGAATGGGTTTTGTAATTCTAGTTGTTGTATTTTGTGGGTTTGTTATTTTTGTTGATTTTCTGTGAAGCACATACATTGGATGTGGGAGGTAAAGGAGTATCTCAGTTGCTCCTTGTTTACTCCCTTTATAGCCATCACTGTCTTGTTTCTTGTATCTCAGGTTAGGTTTTGGTCTCTCTTGCTCTACTGCAAAAAAGTAAAAGAAAAAGAAGCAAAGCAAAAAAAAAAAAAGAGCCTGAAGAGATGGGACAGAATGAAAGACCTCACAGCCAGATTGGCTGGGTTTTGAGGAGTAATCTTTTTTTTTTCCTTCCCCTTGAAGGGGAAAAAACTTTTTTCACTGGTACATTTAAAGCTCCCCAGCTATGGGGAGGTACTAGTTCTGGACAAGTGCCACTGTAACACAGAAATGCTCAGAGAAACTGAACTTTTCAACTCTGGAAGGTGGAAATTTACTGTTGGTCACTGCCGGGTCTTACTGGTATTTCAAAGGAATATTGGGTGCTGCAAATAGGAACTAAAGGGGTAAACTTATTAAACTCATTAAACCTGTGATCAGTGATGTTTTTCTGTCATTTTAAGAGACTAAATATGGGCTGGGAGGGTAGTGGTCAAAACACTTGTACAATTTTAAAACGTAACAATTAAATGTGAGCTGGTTTCCCACAATGTGTCTAATGGCTAAATTTACAAATCATGACATTGAGATATGTATTCATCAAACACAAGACTTAGTCTTGGATAATCTGGTGATAGTTTTTAGAGATTAGCTCTGAAAAATGTCCCCTGAGGAAATTTGGGTTATATATTATAATTATGTGTATATCTTTGGGTTGATTGTTTTAAAGTCTATGTGTATCTTGTGTATTCATGAAGGGAGGAAGGTTCATCTAGATTTCAGTGTACTGAATATGTCATTCATTTGTCAAGGAAAGAGATCAGACATTTGGTTAACAGAAACCTTCACTATGTATACAGTAAAATAAGGAATTAAAAATTGTTGCTGGGAATTGTAATCTAAGTTTGAACTGCTTATGCAATTGATGGAAGGAGGGTTTTTAAATAGTGGGTATCTTAGAAGTGATTATTATTTCCAGTTTATAAACAAAAAGTTGTGGAAGACATAATTTAAAATATACTTCTAACATTCCTGTGATACTTTTGGTCATCTGGCAGTATTGCAGAGAAGTACTTCCTGGTTGCTGGGGGCAGGATGGCCATTAAAAAAGATCTTAGTATTTCTTCAGCTTGTAATTGAAGAGTAATAGCTTTATTTAAGTATATTGTTTTAAACTAAGTTTTAGAAATAACTAGTTATTTAACAGTCACATCTTTATTGCCTGAAATTTGTTTTTATGCCAAATAGAAGCATCTTCAGTTTAGAAGGTTGAGTGGATGAAAGTACCTGATTTTATCTCCTGCACTGTGCCTCTCTAGAAAAAAATTAAGGCTTAGTTATAGAAAAGTGAGGAATTCATAGTTTTATTAAGGTAATTAAGGCTAAACCTGTAAAAAGGCTAGGTTAGGCACATCTGCAATAATAGAAATTTGACGACTGATTTTTTTCTTGCTTTTTCACTAGGGTATGGGCACTGAGCAGTGATTAGGAAACTGAGGTCAAAGGGAAACAAGGCCCTATTTTTGCCCAGTACAGAATGGCAATTTGAGGCAAATTAATAATTAGTAACTAAAAGCATGGGAACTAAATGAAAGTTACTTGAGATTTAATAACTGATTCAGTAGGATCTGAGGAATTACAAAAGTTCTTTTCAAGAACAGACATGACAGCTTGGACAAGCATGTGATTCAAAACACCTTTTTATTCTAACTTTACAGACCAGTTATCCTTTATAGCAACTCTTGAAGTTCAAGTAGAAAATAGATGCTTCAGATCTGAGCATGTTGGCTAGAAACATATATATTTTTTTTTTATTGCAGTGCTTGGGGATTAAATCAGGGCCTTGTGCATGCCAGGCAAGTGCTCTACCACCCACTAGAAACTTTTAGATAAATCTGTCTCACTGTTGTGCACTTAATCAAGGCTAAAGTAAAGGATTAAGAGGAATTATGACTAACTGGAACAAATCTAGAAGATGGTAACTAATGCTCAGATGTTTGTAAACCACTTTGAAAAGATTACATCTATGGGCGGGAGAGAGAAGCACAAACAAAAGTTAACTTAAATTCTGATAATTATACAGAAATTTGAAGTTACTATATCCATAAAGTAAGAACAAATTGCCGTGAAAAGGAAATAGAATTATTGGAAACAGTTGTAGAAATTAAAATAAGATGGTTTATAAAAGTGGCATGGAGGAGGCTAAATCAGAAAACTCCAAGATAAAATCATGGAAATTTCCCCAAAGCAAGAAGATATGTAAAAATTATGGTGATACTGAAAAACTAGAAGATCTAGCATCTACTAATAGAAACTTCTGAAAATAACAGAAAAACAAGACAAGAATAAATTCACCCTAGGTTTGAACAACAATGTTAAAAAAAAATAGATGAAATTGGTTTTCAGATAAAGAGCTTGTCATGTCTAAAGCAGGAAAAATGAAATAAAACAGATGGCTAAAGAAAAATTTACCAAAGAGAAAAGTAGATTACCTATAAAGGAATGTGTCTCAGATTGCCATCAGCCTTCTCAATACAACACTGAATGATAGAAGATAAATTGTAATGCCTTGAAGTATGCTTTTATGTGTGTTTATGTGTATGTATGGGATGGGTAAGACCCATTTTTTTCCCTTAAAATTCTAAATCTAGCCATGCTCTTAAGGAAAAATAAGCCATTTTCAAACATGCAAAGGCACTTTTGGCTTTCTATTCCGCTTTTCTGGAAATAAGTTATTTGAAAGATCTATCAAAAATGAAAGATCCAAGAATAGAAGTTTTATTAAAACACCAAAACAACGTGAAACAGCAGTGTGTTAGGAGGAAGTCTCAGTCATAAAGCTTTCAAGCACACTGAGAAAAACTGTGCTGGGGAGAAAAAAACATACTTGTTATTCCAGTGTGCCACAGATAAGATAGAGGTACATGCTTCTTTTGATCAAATGATAGTGCTATAGTTTGGATGTTCACTGTCCCCCAACAGCGGACTCTGAAGGCCCCCTCTCAACCCCCCACAGAAATTCATGGCACTGTTGGGAGATGGTGAAACCTTTGGGAGGTGGGGCCTAGTGGAAAAGAAGTTAAGTCATTGGATGTGTGCCCTTGAAGGGAACATTAGGACCCTGGCTCCTCCTCTTCCTACTTATTCTGGTACTGGGAATTTAACCCAGGGTGCTCTACCACTGAGTTACATCCCTAGCCCTTTATATTATTATTCAATTTTAAGGCAGGGTCTCACTGAATTGCCCAGGCTGGTCTTGAACCTGGGATCCTTTTTCAGTTTCCTGAGTTGCTGAATATCGATATAGGCTGCCATGCTCAGCTTCTCTTCCTTCCTTTGCTTTCAAGTTGCATAGGGTGAACAGGCCTTCTGTCCTTGGATTTCTGCCTTTTGTGTGCTCCCAACCAAAGACCCAAGTAGGACAGAGCCAACCAATCATAGATTAAAACCATTGGAACCAAAATAAATTTTGCTCCTTTTTAGTTTTTCAGAGGGACAGAAATCTGACTAGCAGAGATGGAAAAGGTATAGATACTTCCAGAACACCAAAAAGTCTACTTGAAAGTTATTATTTTGAGCAATTGATGGAATAGTAAATACAATGCTTTTTGAAACAACTAAAATCAAAACTTTTGATCAAGAGTGAAGAGAATTAACTGAAATACTGAAATCATCTGTAATCTGTGGGTTTGTAATTATAATAATTTTTGTATGATTTAATTTTCCTGACCTTGATTTTATTTATAGATTTTTCTGTGGACCTGTATCAAAAACTCACCCAAGGGTCTGAGGGTATAGTTCAATGGTAGAGTGCTTGCCTAGTATGTGTAGACCCAGGAGTTCTATCCCCAGCACTACAAAAACAAAAAACTCATTTAAAAAATAAGCTTAGGTTTTAAACTTTGTTCCTTCATGTTCATTTTGGTTTTTGAAAAAAGTGGCTTAATTTTATCACCTAGAAATTTAATTATATTGCTTTTAAGGAACATGTTCTAGAGTGCTCACCTAGCTTGTGTGAGGCATTGGGTTTGATCCTCAGTACTACATAAAAGAGGTATTGTGTCCATCTACAACTTAAAAAATTTTTTAAAAGTATAAATGGCCAACAAGTAAATTTTTAAAAAGTGAAAACAATATTTTAAAAAATATTCTTAATATAAATGCTATTTTTTAACTTTAAAGGAAGAAACCCAACCCTTTTTTTATTTTTGAAAAAGAAAAACTTGTTTTGAGGACACATTTACTTTAAGTTCTGTAATTTCTGCATGTTCAGCTTTAATTTCCTCCTGTCAAAATTATGTGGAATACTTAATAAAAACAGAAGGATTGGTCTATTCAATCTTAACAGTCCAGGGATGATCCTGGTCATGTGAATTTTGAAAAGTGCCTTGTGCTTTTAGTATTGGGGATTGAA